TTTATTAACCTTGTCTTTTCTATTTTTAGATATGTTCATATCACGGTCCCAATACTTATGCTTTATTTGGTCTGGACCACTATTCTTACCCTCACTAACTAATAAATTTTCATCATTACTCCTTGTACATGCATTGCTCTCACTACTTTCATTGTTTACTTCATTGCTGTCATATTTAATACTCATCAAAGACAGCAACAAACCCTTTATCATTGCATCTATTTTTACAACTACATCTAATAGTGCTTCCATAATTACAACCATGCTATCTTTACCAACTTCACTACCAAATTCACCAACAAGTCCTCTCTCTCAGGTCCTTTTATCTTTCAGTTGAGGTACTTCAATTTTGATTCTATTTTCGAAACAATAACCAGCTATATATGTTTTATCACTTTGATCCTTGTCTGCAGATTTTTGATAATGCTTGAACTCCTTTTTTTGAATCTTTTCATTGGATTCTTCAGGTTTGTCTATTTTTTTTGTTCGTTCTTTCATTATTGCATTACTTTGACCGCTCATACTAATGTTTACTTTTTCTTTCACTCTCCCTTTATTCTTTCTAATATTTATACTACTGAATTGATTTACCTTTTTATATTTCATAATGTTACTTTTCTTTTCATCTACAAATCCAAAGAACTTTATATCATTCACCTTACTAATCAGATATGTATTATCCTTTCTTTTCTTTTGTCTATTACTTTTATTAACCTTGTCTTTTCTATTTTTAGATATGTTCATATCACGGTCCCAATACTTATGCTTTATTTGGTCTGGACAAGCACAAGCTAAATGTCCTGAATGATGACACACATAGCATAGCTGAGACCTGAGATGATATTTTACTTGAACCAACTTCAGGTTTTTCACAACTTTGACCATTGCTTTTACCACATTCTCCACCAATGATACTAAAAAAATGTCCATCCTTATACGTTTACTACTCAGGTATATATTTTTTCTTACTTTTTATTATCCTTATCTTGCAACACCTTTTAACTAACAATATCTCTTTGATTTTTCCTTTACAATGCTTGATCACAAACTTTTAACACAATAATCGTTACTGGGATACTTTAATTTTACTAATCATGGTGTCCTTAACAAACACAGACTTCTTTGGACCTTCACATAGCAAGATTTCAATGGTTTTGGCGAGTAGGACTGTTCT